TACCACCTTACTAACTTTAGGTTATAAAATAGAATATATTTTTTTTTAGCAAGATTTAGCTACACAGCAAAAGAAAAACTAAATTATACAAAGGTGGCCTCCCCCCAACAAAAAAAAATACAGAAGGGCTTTTGTAGCCAAAAAGAAAATAAGAAAAAGAAGACAGAAGTGCTATTTAAATAAAAGAAGATCCACTTTAAATTTTTTTTTCCTATCATGGAGTTCAAAGGCTATTACTTGCATATCTTAAAAATAAATTATGACTCCATCATCACTATCCAAATCAGTCAGCAGAAGAAAACAGAAAACCTATTGACTCTCATAATAATTCTATTTTATTATTAAAAATTGAAACCATCACCAAACTACTTAAAATAATCAGCCCAGTAGCTTCACCACTGGAAACTGTGATGGTGGCTATGGAAATAGAAAGTAACTGTGAAGGATTAGCCACCATATTCTATCATCCTGCAAGGGTTAAATATTTGATTGCCTGTTTCTACAGCATTATGTCCAACACCGTTTCCTTTAAATAAGGAAAAATATATTAATTGTGGATTTTCAAATAAAAATAAACATATAATAAAAAATAAGACATCAGATTCATAACCAACAAGGGAATGAACTGTGAAAACAGAAAAACTAATACAATAATGTTCCTTTAATAAGTGTTCATTTTAAAATAATTCATTAATGAAAAAAGAAAGAGGGTAGGTAAATTCAATTTGTGATTTAAGATATGCAAAGATGAAGTAAGACAGAATATGATAGTGCCCTAAACCTCAAGTTACTTAAAAATTCAGTATACTCAAGTGTTGGGACCAACTACAGAGCAATTAGAAATGAAGAAAAAGCATATTCAGATTATGGTTAGATTATTAAAAAATAAGATACGTTGCTACTTTTGACCAACTGGTAGTCTTAATTAACTTCATTCTACCACCCCATCAATTCTAATTATTTCTATATTTGACCTACGCTAAGTGAGAGTTTAGTTTCAAAGAAATGGTTCTCTAGAGTGTGAATGAGATTGTTTTCCAAACATATTCATAAAACAAAAGTAAAAAAAAATACCTTACTGCATAACCATAGCAAGACCCCAATTTTTAGTCTAGATTTTAACCCATATTATGATGTCTTAACAACCAAAATACATAAAAGGTAAGATGTAAGAGGAATTCAAATGACCCCATTTCTACTAAAATACTTCAAAATATTTTTTAACACAACCCATACATCCAGCATTACAGAGAACACAAATAGATTACTCATATAGTTAATATATTTCCTATAAATACACATGTAAAGCATGAAATTCTATTTTAAAGGTCTGGGAAATTGAAGGAAATATTGCTAAAATAGCTTTATGGCAATAGTTTTATTTTTCTTTCTAAAACATCATATAGATGCCTCATTATTTCAGAAAGTCAAATTCACATCCTTTAAACAGTACATGTATGTCATATATATTTCAGATGTACAATAACATTATTATTATTACGTATAACTTACATTATATGGTAATACATTAAAGGTCCCAATACAAGTGCTAATATGATTACAGAAATCACCAAATGATCCCGAAGAACATGACTGGATCCTTCTTATCCTTCAGTCTTAGTTTGTTTGTCCCAGCCTTTGAATTTGAAAGGCTGTCCCTTTAAATTAACCCTGTCAGTCACTACCACATTACATTGCTGCTTCCCAATTTTCATGGCACTTACCACTATCTGAAATTATCTTGTTTATTTCCTTTGTTTTTGTCTGTCTTCCTCCACCAAAACGTAAGCTCCATAAGCACAGGTACTTTCTGAGTCTTGCTCACCACTGAATCCCCATTACATAGAACAGCATCAGCACACAGTAGCACTTGATAAAAAGTATCGAATAAATAAAATAGGGCAATTAGCTCAAACAATAATGTACGCTAAACCAGAAAAAAGCTAGCAAGGAAGAATGGAACTCAGAGAATGGTAGATTCATGGATGATCCTATCCTCCAAGAAACTGGCACCTCTGAACTGCGAAGGCAACCACTTAAAAAGTGAGCATCTGTATCCTATATAATTAAGCAAGAGGGCACTTCCTTTCTCACAACACAATTACCTCTGTGAGCAGGGTTTTATTTTAAGGGAGCCCTTACTACAAGGCCACTCCAACCACAAATCTACTCCCCTATACTTTGCTACCTGGCATTACTGGCCCACTTGAATTAATAATTTGTCAGCTGCATCAAGTCCAGACATGCCTTGTCTTCCCCATCGCCAATCCATGACCCTTCCCCAAATAAGCCTCTCTGCAAACCCCACAGACTCCTCACCAGTGCGCTACCAGAAACGTCACTGAAGGGGATGGTAAAAGTAACACAGAACAGATCTTGCTTTGTTTGCTACCTGGTTGTTTACCCACCAATCCTCCCTAAGACGTACATTGCTTATGGAGGCAATCCAGGGGGAAAGTTTCTTAGCCCAGGCATATACTAGCTGTATGTTCTTGGCAATGCACTTACCATCTCTATGCCTCAGTCTCCTCATCTGCAAAATAGGGATAATCTCATCTGTCTCAAAGAGATTCTGTGAGGATTCGATGAACTAATACATGTATGGCAACTACTACATTGCAAGATATGCAGAAAGCATCAGTAAATGGGGACTGCTTTTATTATGCAGATGATGATGACGATGGTTTTTATCAATATTTTATGAACTCCTGGAGGGCAGTGACAGTGCTTGGTTCTTAGTAAGATTCAAACGTAACTTAAAAACGTGGAGGGGAGGACAACGGCTTCCTCATTTCACTGCTTCCAGATCCTTCCCCATGAAATCAATCTCCAGCACCTGCCATTTGCCTAAATTAGGAGCAGGGGAATGGGATTAAAAACTCACAGAAGCAAAGAGTGGGAACTACCTCGTACCATCAGGGGCAATCCAGAGAATTTGCTTAATTAGCCTCACGTTATGCCCCAGAGAGTCGCAAAGGCAGAGTAAACAGCACTCCGAGAGCGTCTGGTCGTGGTAACCTGCGTTCAGAAATGGCCAGGGCACACACTGGAGACGCCGCCCTCACCAGCATCTTTGGAGCAGGAAAAAGGCTCAAACAGTATTATCAATAGGAGGCGGTTCTTCGGCTCCGGCCAGAGTTTATTTACCCAGACCCTCCGCTCTCACCCCAGCGCCTCACGTCTACATTCCCGGGCGCCCCGGACGAGGCTCCATCCGCAGAGCCCACCAGGCAGTATCAGCATCCGAGCATCACCTCCACGCCCAGGGCCGCCGGCGCCCGGGAACCCGCCTCCCCACGCCAGCGCCTTTCCAGGGCTCTAGGCCCCGGAGCCCAGCCCCGGCTCTCCTCGTAAGGAGCCCGCCTTCAGCTCCTCAGAGCGCCAATTCCGCTTTCCCGGGTGGCCTCGCAGCAGGGACCCTCTGAGTCAAGCCCTTTAGGCATATACACACCTGATCTCCCACGGCACGGTTACCTTGCGTTCCCTCCCCACGAGCCTTGTCAGGAAGCAAACGGCTCAACTGGTAGTGACAGAGAGCAGCTCAGTCCTCCACCGCCTTCTCCTTCTCCTCCCGGCCATATTACCGGTCTCAGGCGGCAACGCGGGATCCTGGCAACGGCCGCCGCCGCCCGGACTCCACCTCTCTGGGCAGGCACTTCCGGTGGTTGCTTCCCGGGCCGCCGAAACGGTTGGGCCACCAGAAAACTACAATCCCAGAGGTGCGTTAGCGTCCTGGACCAGTGCAGGAGGGCGTAGTACTTACGAGAAGCGCGGTTCACGATGGGAAATGTAGTCCCCACTGCAAGCAACCCCTTTATCATTATAATTAGAATTGAAACGCTCCCATTTTCTGTGATCGTTGGAAAAACAAACGACATTCACCAATTTTTTCTGTAAATAAAAAACTGCGGAATCCTATATGCCAACTGTAAAATTTAAGACATGCCTTACCCTCTGCAAATCAGTGGGAAAATACCATGCGAGAAAGGCAGCAGGTTCAAGACGACAGGAAAAGCCCCAAATATTTCGCCGAAGTTCTTTATCTAAATATGTTACCAGCTTTCCGAAATATGATGTAGTGTCCCCTTTGATCTTCTAACTCGGTTTTACCTTCTGCCTACTTCCCATGCATATTTTTACACATGTAAAACGAGTTTTAAAAGTGACTGTCACAAGGTTAGTTATGAGGAACAACATAATTCTTGCACAGTACCTGGTACAGAAACCTCACTACTGGCCCTTAGAAGGTGGAGAAGGATAGGAGAAGAAGCGGTGGAAAAGTCACTGGCCTAAAACTGGGGTGGCTTGATGTCACCTCGTACTCTGCCATTAACTTCACCTCTCTTGGCCTCAGTGTCCTCATCTATGGAATGAGGGAATCATTAAAATCTCTTCCATCTTTATAATCCGATTATACTTCCTTTTGCCATACTCTTTTATTCCCTCAGAATCTGAAAAATCCTAAAGTCGACAGGATTCAACCTCCTGAGATAATACCTACCCACTGAGGCTGTTATGAAAATATATGAGGATAATGCACAGAAGCATTTGCTCACACAGAATCAGGAACATGCTAAATGTTCTATAAATGTTAGTTTACTCCCTACCACTATTATTTTCTCCCAAGAGAACATAAGCCCCAAGAGTGCAAGGACCCCATAGGTCCTGTTCATTGCTGTGTCCTGAGCGCCCGGAAGGGTTTCTGGCACACCTTGCACTGAATTGAATAAATAGTCAGAAGAGTCCTGCCCCTTCAAGGCTCCCAGGGAACCGTCCTCGAGGGCAGAATGAAGAAGTCACTAAGATCCGTTGCAATCGTACAACCGTACAACAGCTCTTGCCCGTCTGCCCTTCTGGAATATGAAAGCCGGCAGAAGTCAAGACTCAGAGTAACCCAAAAGCCACTTTTGGGACTTGAGCCTAGAACCCGAGCCCGCCTCTAGGGTCATCAAGTGGCTCCGCCCTCGATCTCTGGAGATCCCGGGCTCTGATTGGCTGGACTGCTGTCTCTCTTTCTCTCCGGACGTGACCGCCGCCGCCGCCATTGTGCGGCGCTGTACCTTTCGAAGAGTGCTTCTTAGGCGAGTACCTGGGGCTGTTGCCCTTGCTTCTCGCTGTCTTGTTCGGGAATCCCGGCGGGTCCGGGACTCCCGTCCGTGCCGGTGCGGGCGCCGGCATGTGGCTGTGGGAGGAACAGGAGGGCCTTCTGGGTCCCTTCTCCTTCATACTACTGCTGCTACTGCTGGTGACACGCAGCCCCTTCAATGCCTGCCTCTTCACCGGCAGCCTCTACCTCCTGCTGCGCCTCTTCAGCTTTGAGCCTTTGCCCTCCCGCAGGGCCTTGCAGGTGCTCAAGCCAAGGGACCGCGTTTCCGCCATCGCCCACCGCGGCGGCAGCCACGACGCGCCGGAGAACACGCTGGCTGCTATTCGACAGGTGAGTCCCCCCCGCCCTCTCCTCGGACCCCTCCTGGGAGCTTGGTCTTACGCTTGTCCTTCCGGAGGTTACCCAGTCCCCTCACGATAGTCTTCCAGTAGCCTGTTCGTCCAGGAAGACTCTGAAGTGGCCTTCGATCCCTTTGAAATCTGGAAAGGCTCCCGACTTCAAGTATTTATAGAACACAAGTACTACATATTTGCTGTTTGCCAGGTATCGAGAATACTGTCATGAACGCAACAGAAAGGTTCCCAGCTTTCACGGAGCTTGCATTGGAGTTAAGGACGCAGGCCTTAAACAAGTAAATACATAAATGAGACACTTTTAAGAGAGCGAAAAGTGTAATGAAGAAATAGGGTAATGGGATAAGGAATGACTGATAAGACCTCCCCAAATGTAAGCTCTTTAAGCCAAGGATCTATAGATTAGGTCAACACTTTGTGACTCCTTCCTACCTTGTAGCCTTCGAATTATACTTGCCAATTCTTATGCTTGGGAAACATTTCCCCCCGATTTTCGTATAGTTGACTCCCTTTTATCATTATGGTCTCAGCTCAAATGTCATCTTTTTAGAGAAGCTTTGCCCTGGTTGCCTTGTCTAGTGACCTTTAACCTGCTTTGGCCTTCACATTACTCTCTATTTTCTTTTTTAAAAATATTTATCACTGTCATAATTTACATGTAACATGTTTGTAGCCTATTTCTCTCCACTAAAATGTGAGATCCATGATTCTTTTCTTGCTCAGCACTCTCCCCTCACTGCTGATACATAGTAGGCACTTGATAAGTATTTGTTGGAAGGATTGTGATGTACAAATAGCCAATAACCACGAGAAAAGATACTCAACATTATCACCTATCTGGAAAATGTGAATAAAAATCACAATGAGATACTGCTTCATTCCCATTAGGATGTCTATAATCAAAAACAAGTGTTGGTGAGGATGTGGAGAAATTGGAACCTTTATACTACTGGTGGGAAAACAGTCCAGCAGTTCCTCAAAAGGTGAAACAGAGTTACCATATGATCCAGCAGTTCCATTCCTTGGTAAATACCCAAAAGAACTGAAACATAAAGACTTGCATATGAATATTCATAATATTCATAATAGTCAAAAAGTGGGAACAACAAAAATGTCCATCAGCTAAGGAATGGATAAATTAAATGTGAAAGGAATCAGTAAGAGTAGCTGTCTGCTTAGCCCTGTTGAGTGTTTATATTGCAATATAACACTTGACGATAATATTGTTGATGGTTTTGTTAAGGCAGCTAAGAATGGAGCAACAGGCGTGGAGTTGGACCTTGAGTTTACTTCTGATGGGATTCCTGTTTTAATGCACGATAACACAGTAGATAGGACAACAGATGGCACTGGTCGATTGTGTGACTTGACATTTGAACAAATTAGGAAGCTTAATCCTGCAGCAAATCACAGATTAAGGTAAGTGGTTGATTGTCGCTTAAACATATCTTCAGCTTTTGTTGAAAATCACAGACAGGCACTGGCACCTTCAAGTTACATCTGCTCTAGGAGGGTTGTTGTGTTGTGTTTTATCTTGAACTGTATACAGGTTTCCCAGGTAATAAGCAGGTGCCAGGAAGAACAGAAATATGGCATGGATTTTTTCATCTTTTCCCACTGAGCCCAAATTTGGCCTCAGAATTATTCTCAAGACAATACTCTGTCTAGTCACTTTGTACTGTCATATAAATTATGTATGCATGCATATATATGTACATATATTATACACCAGAGCTAGTCCTACATGGTATTATTTGAGTCAAACTGATGACATATGTTAGAGAGCAAGATCTCAAATACTTCTTTCATTTAAAGCCAAGATCTTACAGTTGAAATAATACAGTTGAGTTAGCATAAGTTAAATCTCATACAGTGAAACTTTTTATGTGAGAAAAACTGATTTCTTAATATATTAGGCACTTAATTTTCCTTTTTTATCAGAAAACTATGTATTAGAAAATTATTTATTTTAAATATTGACACTTAAATGAACAATAGTACAGTCCATAGATTTATGTATTTCTAAAAATTTTTCCTGCAAAGGTTCTGTTATGGCAATTACAATCTTCAAATTAAGTCTGTGAGTTTCCAAAGGTGGCATATACTCTACCCTTTGGTGAGTAGAGTTACTAATTATATTATTAATTCAGTGGAAATCCAGTGATTTCCTAAAAATTAAATGATTTTTTTTTGTTGTTGCTGTTCTTTGGTCAGGAATATCTCTACTTTAGTTTAAATCTGTATAGTAAATTATTCTTAGGCTTCAGTGAGGTTGAAGAAAGGAAGTTGGGGAAGTACTCTTTCCTCTTGTTTGGGAGACATTTGTCAAATGTGTATTCCACTAAACTTTATATATATATATTTTTTCTTTTACCTGCAATATGCTATGCCTTTTCCCTCCCTGACAGGAATGATTTCCCTGATGAGAAAATCCCTACCCTGAGAGAAGCGGTTGCAGAGTGCTTAAATCATAACCTTACAATCTTCTTTGATGTCAAGGGCCATGCAAACAAGGTACAGTTAATACCATAGATTTCACTTTTTTAAAAAGACATTTTTAATTGCTAGTCATTTCCAAAATATTTGTTATTTTTCTTAGATTATTTTTATAAATTATATCTGCTTAATGGAAGTATACAATGCAAAATCCACATCTGTAAGGAAAATGTTAAATTATAGAATCTTTCAAACTTTTTAACCTTTGATGGAACCTTTTAACAACTCCTGATATTCTACAACTAGCACAAAATAGAAGAGTCAGGTTTCTCTTACTTGCATAAAGTATTTGCCAAAGATATTAAATAAATAATGAAGAGGTACTTCTTGAACAGACTGCTCAAGTAACCTCATAAAAGGAGTTCAGGAGTTGGACACCATCATTTTCCTCTGTCAAAGGTCTTAGATGGACAACTAAGGATAAAATTTAAAGCTTCTGATAGCTAATAGGATATTTATCTTTTATACAGATTTATCCCTTCTGTATGATTTGTGTCCCTTTTGTATAGTCTTCCTATTCTGTGATTTCAGCAGTAATACTTTTATCAGAAAATTAATTTTTTTTTCAAATATGTATGACATTTCTAAATAAAATTTTGCTTATATTTTAGGACATATACTTTTACTCATAAATACTTACTGCAATGGAAAGCAATGGGAAAATACGGTCAGATTACATTTGTTCTCTTATAACCAGCTTTTCAAGTACAAATACTCTTTTCCATGTATGGACAATTTGTGTATTTACCCCTAACAATAGTTATAATCAGTAATAACTGTCTACTGGTTTAGAATTCTGATGATGTCAGTTTTTAAATTAACCCAGGATATAGTTGAAACCAGCTGTTAAAATCTGAAATAGAAGCCTCAGTATATATTCTAACTTTAGTAAACTCCTATTTTTGAAGAAAAAGGAGAATGGTGCTCTGGTTAATTTATTATTTTGCTAAATTGGTAGTTCTAGGTTTTCCAGGTGGTCTGCATCAGCATCACCAAGAATGCCTATTATTATAAATATATGGATTTCTGACTGAAGAAATTCCAAAAATGCCTAGGATGGTGGGATCAAGGAACATGTATTTTTTTCTTTTTTAAAAAATATATTTTATTGATTATGCTATTACAGTTGTCCCGTTTTCCCCCTTCATCCCCCTCCACCCTGCACACCCTCTCCCACCCACATTCCCCACCTTTAGTTCATGTCCATGTGTCATAAGTTCTTTAGCTTCTACATTTCCCATACTATTCTTGCCTTCCCCCTGTCTATTTTCTACCTACCATCTATGCTACTTATTCTCTGTACCTTTTCCCCCTCTCTCTTCCTCCTACTCTCCTGTTGCTAACTCTCCATGTGATCTCCATTTCTGTGGTTCTGTTCCTGTTCCAGTTGATTGCTTAGTTTGTTTTCATTTTTGTTTTTGTTTTAGGTGTGGTTGTTAGTAATTGTGAGTTTGTTATCATTTTACTATACAAGTTTTATATCTTCTTTTTCTTAGATAAGTCCCTTTAACATTTCATATAATAAGGGCTTGGTGATGATGAACTCCTTCAACTTGATCTTATCTGAGAAGTACTTTATTTGCCCTTCCATTCTAAATGAAAGCTTTGCTGGATAGAGCAAACTTGGATGTAGGTCCTTGCCTTTCATGACTTGAAATACTTCTTTCCAGCCCCTTCTTGCCTGCAAGGTCTCTTTTGAAAAATCAACTGACAATCTGATGGGAACTCCTTTGTAGGTTACTGTCTCCTTATCTCTTGCTGCTTCTAGGATTCTCTCTTTCATTTTCATCTTGGCTGATGTAATTATGATGTGCCTTGGTGTGTTCCTCCTTGGGTCCAACTTCTTTGGGGCTCTCTGAGCTTCCTGGACTTCCTGGAAGTCTATTTCCTTTGCCAGATTGGGGAAGTTCTCCTTCATTATTTGTTCAAATAAGTTTTCAATTTCTTGCTCTTCCTCTTCTTCTTCTAGTACCCCTATAATTCGGATGTTGGAACATTTAAAGATGTCCTGGAGGTTCGTAAGCCTCTCCTCATTTTTTTAAAGTCTTGTTTTTTCATTTTTTTTTTCTTTGGTGGTTTCTTCTTTCTAGTCCACTCCATTGATTTAAGTCCCAGTTTTCTTCCCATCACTATTGATTCCCTGTGCATTTTCCTTCATTTCACTAAGCGTAGCCTTCATTTTTTCATCTAATTTGTGACCAAATTCAACCAATTCTGTGAGCATCCTGATCACCAGTGCTTTGAACTATGCATCTGATAGGTTGGCGATCTCTTAGTCACTTAGTTGTATTTGCTGTGGGGGCAGGGTCTGAGAGGGAACAATGGCACTTGCTCCACTCTCTGTCAGATTTCATTCCCTTCCACAGCTTCCCCCAAGCTAACTGGGCCTTTCTGGTGCTGATTCCTGTGTGGGTGGGCTTGTGTACATTCTAGGAACCTGTGGGTGTCTCCAGTGGACTCTCCTGTGAGACTGGGAGTCTCTCCCCGCTCCTCAACCCCCACAGATGTTTTCAATAGGTGTTTTGAGGCTTTATTTCCCTGCACTGGAGCCCTGGGTTGTGTGGTCTGTCTCGCTCCCCAGTGTCTCCTGGGTTATCTGCATGCACGAATGTGGGACTGCCTGGTCAGCCAGCCGCCTTCCACATGTGCCCCACTTCACAATCATTGCCTTGCTGGGGTCTGCCTGTTGCCACCCTGCATCCAGGGTCCGCCCGCTGCTGTCTTGTGCGCCCAGGGTTTGTCAGCTGCTGCTGTGTTTGCCCGGTGCCACTGGTTTTTTTTGCCTCGACCTCTCTCTACTCGGCAGCTGGACTTCGCCCCTCCTACCTGTCTGGATAAATGTGTCTATTTTAACTCCTTGGTTGTTAGACTTACATACAGTTCAACTTCTGTCAGTTCTAGTTGTTATTTTGTTTCTAAATTGTTGTTTTCCATATGTTGGTTGTGCAAGGAGGCACAGTGTGTCTACCTACACCTCCATCTTGGCGGGAAGTATCAGGACATGTATTTTTAATGCGCACTTCAGGTTTTGTTGATGTTGGGGAGCTCTGATGGTCCTGCATTTCACCCATGGTGTACTAACCCTTCATGCTTATTCTTTTCAAATAAGAGGGAGGTTGGGGAGAGAAGAAGAAAACAATTATTTTAAAAATCCAGCTATTTAAGCTTTCTGGTTGGGTGTTCAGCAGGTGTTTTGGGCAAGACTAGGTATAATGTAGTGATCTCACTCACCATAGTGGTAGTCTAAAGGAACAAGTGTTGGCAGCTAATTGGAGATAGTACAGCACAGGAGCCAAGATCATGGACTTACTACCTCAACCTTGATAAGTTTCAGTTTCCTCATGGGAAAAATGGGAATAATAAAACTACCACATAGGGTTATCGTGAGAATTAAATAAATGATGTAGGTGAAAAGTTATTACCCACGGTACATATGATAGTTCAAACAATAAGAAAATAACTTTGACTCTGTAGCTCTATCACATTAGTGAAGGGGAAGCATAACATGAATAATTTCTATGTTATTTTTCTGGGAATGCATTTTGTTACTGATATTTGGTTATATGTGACTTTCCAAAAATTAGTAGTATTTCAAGAATTTTGATGTAGCAGCAGTATATTCAATGGGCAATCTATTAATTCACTAGAGCTTACAAAATGTCAATATCTTAATTCTATTATTCTTCATTAGGTGGACTACAAAAAGAAATTTCTGCTCATCTTGGGAAAAGTTGAGAGACTTCTAACTGTTCCCATTTCCTCCCTGTCCCATCGCTTCTTCCTTCATGTTGATAATGGTTGACCTTTCCTCTCAACCGCCTAGACTGAGAAAATCTACCCTTTGTAATTCCCAGGCTGATGGCTCATGCTTCAGCTAGGAAAAGCAGAGGGTGATAGAGTTGTAGGTATAAAAGGACTTTTCCTAGTGGCTAAACTAGGGAAAAGATTTTAAAATTTTGCTTCCAATCTCCATTGGCCTACCGTCTGATATACTTTCCAAAAATATGACCAAGGGAATAGGCCTGTAGAAAGATAGTAAAGCAGCAGTATCCCAACTTCTTTATCTGCTGCAAATGTGAGTTTAAAATGTATCCCAATGGATAGTAGATTGTACTAATACTCCTTTCAATCTCCCTATATATTATTGAACTTCTGATTTATTTGATAGGGTTATACTTAATATAAAATAGTTATTTCCTAAGACTATTACATTTTAATATATTTTAAATACATGATCTCTTCTGGTTTTTTAGAAGGGAAGATAGGGAGAAAGAGAGGGAGAAGAACATCGATGTGAGATAGAAACATTGATTGCTTGCCTCTCGTAAGCACCCTGACCAGGGACTGAACCCATAACTCAGGCATGTGCTCTTGAATGGGAATTGAACCAGTGACCGTTTGCTTTGTGGGACAACGCCCAACCAGCTGACCCACACCAGTCAGGGCAAATCTCTTCTGTTTTACAGGCTACTGATGCTCTAAAGAAAATGTACATGGAGTTCCCTCAACTATACAATAATAGTGTGGTCTGCTCTTTCTTACCAGAAGTTATTTATAAGGTAAAATTCTGGATTTTTGTTGTACATAATATTATATTAGTTAATGAAGATCATAGCAATGGGCTAAGTAAACATAAGACAGATGCCTGTTAAATTGAACTGAATTGGTTAAGAAACTCTTAAATTAACGAGAGGAATTCAGGAAGGGGATTGTACTCATACCCCATTTTAAATAACATAATTCCTTTTTGGCTCCTTTATTTATGTTTATAGGCTCATTCAGATTACTTTAATAAATGTTCTCAGAATAGAAAGAATTATGCAGCCCTACATCTCATTACCAGCGAAATATCTTTTGAAAAATAACTCTTAATTTCAGAGAACATAAAATATGCACAAAAGTCGATGATAGTAGAGTGAGCCCCTTTAACCATGGTCCAGCTTGTTTCATTTGTACCCCCATTCTTCTTCACTAGTGCTATTGTAAAGCAAATCCCAGATATCACTTCATCCATAAAAATTGCTTTAAGTATCTTTAAAAAGTGATTCCTTTAAAAAGATAGCATTGATACCATTATTTCATCTAAAATCATTAGCAATAAGATCATCAAATATCCAGTCAGTGTATACATTTTCATTTTACTAATCATGCCATGATACAGTTCAGCACATTCCTCTCTGTATATTCCCTATAAATAATTGGTAGTGAGAATATAGGCTTGATCAAATTAGGTTCAGTTGTTCCTGGCAAGATACCTTCATAGGTTAGGGTATTTTTCCATTGGAAGGCACATAACATCTGGCCGCCTCTTGTTAGTAGCTGCTAGTGATGCCAATGGCTAGCTCTCAGTTTACTAGGGGTTGCAAAATGTTAATATTTTAATTCTATCATTTCATGTATTAGCTAAATACTTCTATAGAAAGAAAGTCTCACCTATTATTTAGTTACCCAATAAGAAAAAAAGCTTAATCTTTCCCTGAATTTACTAGCTTCCAAAGTAATGAATCGCTTCTGTAGCACTCTTCAACAGTGACCAACAAAGCATACATTTAAAAAATTTTTAAGTGTTTTTTTTTAGATTTTATTTATGTATTTTTAGAGAGGGAAGGGAGGGAGAAAGAGAGAGAGAAACATCAATGTGCAGTTGCTGGGGGTCGTGGCCTGCAACCCAGGCATGTGCCCTGACTGGGAATCGAACCTGCGACACTTTGGTTCGCAGCCTGCGCTCAATCCACTGAGCTACACCAGCCTGGTACATTTAAAATTTTATAGTAAGAGTGTAGCCTATCCACATATAAACTGCCATTGAGATGAATAATGTCATAGGGCTTTCAGATATTTGGGTCAGTGTTTTCCAAACTTACTTGGCCACAGAGGCCTTTGAAATGTATTATATTCTCCAGAGGAGCATAGAACACAAACTGAAAGAATTCTATTCACATCTCCCCATTTCTCCTTTGCCTTCTTCCTATCCCTTACCCCAATTTTGATCATCTCTTCTCACATTCTTCTCATCCTACTTCCCCACCCCAACCACTCTTTTCAGCTATTTACTCTGGAAAGGATTAAAAGCTAATCAGCCCATCTTGAAATGATCTTAGTTCCATCCTCATTGAGTTCTAATTATCTCTGGCTGGAATTTAAATTGATGTCCAATTGAAAGTTTTTTTTCTTGCAATATGATTAAAACTTGACCCTGAGATTATGATTTTCTCATTTTAAAGATAGAATTGCAGTTCATTTAGGATTGTGAAGCAAGAGTTCTTATTTATACTTATATTTCTATTAAATGTTTTACATCCATCACATTATTTTCTCAAAGGGTTTATGATAGGGTACTTATTTAGCAGATGGGGAGGGGATACCACTTATGACCACCTTTCAGAATGAGTACTTTGGCTAAATTTAAATAACAAGAGGCACTCTTTCCAAAAGCGACCAGAAGTGATCTCTGGAGATGGTTTGCTATTCACTTGACCCAGAGAACCTCACAAAATCATACAAATCAAGAGGTTCAAATCTTCATGTTCACTTTAAGAACACTCGTGAAACTGCCCAGGCCATCAAGGGTATGCATATTTGAAAAGCCACCAAGTATCTGAAAGATGTCACTTTAAAGAAGCAGTGTGTCCCATTCTATCAATACAATGGTGGAGTTGGTAGGTGTGCTCAGGCCAAACAGTGGGGCTGGACACAGACAGGGTCGGTGGCCCAAAAAGAGTTCTGAGTTTTTGCTGCACATGCTTAAAAATGCAGAGAGTAATGCTGAACTTAAGGGTTTAGATATGGATTCTCTGGTCATTGAGCACATCCAGGTGAATAAAGCTCCCAAGATGGCAGCGCGGAACCTACAGAGCCCATGGGAAGATTAACCCGTACAGGAGCTCTCCCTGCCACATTGAGATGATCCCCACTGAAAAAGAGCAGATTGTTCCTAAACCAGAGGAAGAAGTTGCACAGAAGAAAAAGATATCCCAGTATAAACTGAAGAAACAAAAGCTTATGGCCTGGGAGTAAATTCAGCATAAAATAAATACTAATAAAAGTTAGTAAGTAAATAAATAACAAGAGGCAGGTATTGGATTTATAATTATTTCATTTTCCAAAATTCCTTTTCAGATGAGACAAACAGATCAGAATGTAGTAACCGCTTTAACGCACAGACCTTGGAGCCTTAGCCATACAGGAGATGGGAAACCACGCTATGATGCTTTCTGGAAACAGTCTTTGTTCGTGGTCCTAGATATCTTGCTCGATTGGAGCATGCACAATATCTTGTGGTACCTGTGTGGAATTTCAGCTTTCCTCATACAAAAGGATTCTGTATCTCCGTAAGTTGGGGCTCTTTTATCTTGTCCTGACACATCTCATGAATACTCTTCTTAGAAAGGAAGGATTAATGGTGGACATCCTGGCTTGGTTCCCACCCTCAAAGCCCACTATGCCTTTATTAAATTAGAATGCCAGTGGCTTCTTAGGTGGGAAGAGTTCAGGCATATTTTATTTCCAAAACAAGTTGATCAAATATTCTTGGTTTTAAGTGCATTTTAAGGAAAAAATAAATTTGCCAAACTGATGGGAGATCACATTTCCTTGTGATTGGCTCCCTTTGAAAACCAACATAGGATCCAGGTCAGAACCACAGTGAAAATGTCCTTTGAGTGCCTAACTCATCTCTCCCATTTTTCCTCCTGCTCCACTATACATTACATGCTTTCCTCTGTCGTTTCCAAGAAATTTTTTGTACCCTAATGCGCTGGCAATCTCTGAATCTTTCTTTTTGCAATTTTATAGCTGTGTATTTCAACTGATTATAATTTGTTTCACATTATTTCAGGTATGTGTATGCATTTAATTCAATAAATATTTGGCATGTAACTACTAGTAGTTCAGGTAGTACTATACTAAGAATCCAAAGATACTGTGGCAAAGAAACAAAACCATGGTCTGTCCTCATGGAGCTTATAGTCAAGTGGAAGAAATAGATGCTAATCATATAAAACTTCAGTAAATTACAACTAAGATAAATGCTTTGTAGGAGAGAACAGTGTACATGTATAATGTGACCTAGTGGGGGAGTAAGGGAAAACATCCCTAAGGAACTGACAACTAAGCTGAAGTCTGAAGGGTGAGTAGGAATTGAGGGAGGTGGGTATGGAGATCAAGTCAGAGGGAGAAACATGCAAAAGTGTTAGGGCAGGAAAGAGCCTGGTTCTTTCAGGGAACTAAAAGAAAAACAATATTCTGCAGCACAGAAAAGAAGGGGGGAGTGTGGTTTAAGATGAGGTCAAAGAGACAGGTGGGGCTAAGCCAGGTATGGCCTCCAATATGACTTGGGGGTTCTTAAGCAAGCCACTGAAGTGTTTTAAGCTGGAATGGAACATTGTGGAGGAAATTCTCATGCTGGGTTTTGGAACACTCCCTCTGATTTCAGTGCAGAGGCTCTTTCTGAGCACTGTTAGTACTCAGTGAGTACCATAGTTAGTGACCATTATAGATTCCCAGGCCAAGTGGTCATTGTTCTAATGTATTTGTTTTTTTTCTCTTTCTCCAGGAACTACTTAAAGAAATGGTCAGCTAAAGGCATTCAGGTTGTTGCATGGACTGTTAATACCGTTGATGAAAAAAGTTACTACGAATCCTATCTTGGTTCCAGCTATATCACTGACAGCATGTTAGAAGACTGCGAACCTCATTTCTAGACTGTTCCCCAGGGAGGAAACCATGGGTACAGAGATTGCCTGCTGGCCTCATGCAGGAATATTGAAAAACCTTTTGTGCTAGGCCAAGCCATGGGGGATCAGGCAGCCAGCCAAGCAGTAGTCGGTAATTGCATTTTTACCTGAACCAAAGCAAAACCTGGTGTTGCCACTGTGCTCCATGGAATACCTACCTGAGTTAAATAATGTTGCTCTTGAAAATCTGGGTCTGCAAAAAGGCACGACAGCTCCTGCCCAGATCTAGCTGAGGCATACACCAAGACCCAGTGAGGATAAGCACAAATCGAGTTGTGCAGTTTGGGGTGCAAATGCGGATGCACGGGAAATGCATGACCATTCAAAGTTGACATTTTAAAACTTGACACACTTAGATAATTTACTTATTTAAAATATTTGCATTCGGATACATTATCAATGTACTGCAGACATCAAACTTGTGATCATACTATTAAAATCATTAAAAGGAACACTAAGGGAAAACTGAGTATCAAGTATCATATCATAAAGGAACTGAAGTTACTGTCAGTCACCCAGTGACCAGGGGCAACAGCCTCAGTGTGCTGTGTAGGGAAGGAAATTAAGTATTGACATCAGCCTGAGGAAAAGTTTATGGTACGTGTCTTGAAATAACTATAGACCACTAGGGAGCAGAGTTGCACTCTTCGGATTGCTCTACAACTGATGAGACAATTCAAGGACATTTAGGCTTATTTTACACAAGAAAACTAAAACCTGTGCAAGGGAAGGGTCTTCCTCAGATATGCCACAGCTGGTGACTGGCACAGCCTGGTCTTATTTAGCAGACATGTTGGGGGGGCAGGGTACCAACAATAAACAACTATGTGGTTAACACATCTTAATTGTCTCACAAAAATCTTAGAGGTATTCACTGTTTACTGATGAGGAAGCTGAGGCACTGCAAAGCCACTCAAGTCTCAAATTTCTTGGTGCAGTTGGGATTCAAATCCAGGTTGGTCTGATTTGGAGCTCCTGCTTGTAACACCCCCTGCCCTCACACCCCACTGTCTACCTTTATAAAGCTCTTGATTCCCAGCTCCTTCCCACATGGGTTTCCAGAGGATCTTATTGTGGACTTAAATAGCAATATGTAAGATGAAGTTGAGTCTTTAAAAAATTGCAAAGCTGTTTTTCTCTTTTTTAGTCACCCCATCTCCCACCTTACAGCCCCACCTGTACATAGCTTTAATCACAGGCCCCACAAGTTAGTCATGATTTCCCTCTTGAGTCCCAGTGGGTCACCAGCCTCACACTTGCAGCAGGCAGGCCAGCAGTCCACACAGCTAGATGGCAGTGAGAAGCAAACTGATTTTTTGCTGCAGTTGGTGTTGGCAGTGGAATGTAGGTGGGGCTTGGGACATTTTCAATCAACGTTTACAAAGATTTTTCTTGAAGTTAAAAACAATAGGACAAAGAGTCTATTCAATAAATGGAACATATCTAAACTGCATGTGTTTCCATGCCATGTTATGACCAGAGTGACAATGGAAAAACGACTCAAAAATTCTGTGGACTGAATTCCTCCTTTGACATGCCGCTGGAAACTGCACAACTGACAGGGAAGGAATTCTCTTTGGGACATATAGTTAACATCTTTTCTGTTGTGTGAAGACCTTTCGAGAGACAGTTTGCTGCCTCTGTCCCAAATCCATCTTGCTGTTGACTCCTCTACATCCAGTTAAGGATTTAGATCCCATGTCGAGGTGGTTAGGGCCTTGAAGAATGGAGAACTTGGGTGGAGAAAGATGTTAACAAGTACTACTATTCAGTACTTGGAAGGCTTGGTATAGGGGCTAAAAATAGGATTTGGGATCAGGGAAAAGTAAAACTGATTTCCTGATCAGCAACTTACCAGCTGTATGATCTTAAGGCAAGTAAAGTTACTTAATTCGCCTATAAAATAAGGGCAGTGTTAGCACCACCCCAGAGGGTGGCTGAGATTAAACGAAAGTGAGTGCAAGTCTTGTTAGTAGCTAACATTTACTGACAGCCTACCGTGTACTAGATGCTGTTTCAAATACCTTCCGTGTGTTTACTCTGCAACAATACCATGAAGGTAGGTACCATTATATACTGAAGGAAAAGTAAAGCACTGGGAGGGTAAGTAGCTTGTCTAAAGTCACACAACAGTAATAGGATAAGGGTTCAGGCCCAGGTAATGTAATTCCAGAGCCCACACCCTAAAACTGCTTATCATGTCCGGTCCATACCTACAACACTTGTCACATAGTAGGTGTTCAATAAATGTTGAAGGATTGAATTGGGATATCAGTGGAAACTTCCTGGAGGAAACTAGAGATAACAGAAGAAAATTTAGGTGTTTAGGTAAAGGACTCAGGATTCAGCAGCAGCAAGGAGCCTTCCAAAATCCCAATAGATACCATTCTTCTGAGAATGTGAATACAGATTAAAATCACATCTGCTGTTTATTAGACTGCACCTCTGCTCTCAGGATGCTGGAGGCAGGTAACAAGGAAGAGTTACCTCGAAAGACTTAAAAAAAATCCACTACTTAATTAAACACTGGTTTTGCTTATTTGGAGACTGGTGTCTAAAATCCTGTTTTGACAAGAATGTCAGCAAGACATAAACTTTATTAGATGCAGATTTCTAAATAAAATTACACATACCATTTTCTAAAGTGGAAATAGTGCTTCAATAGGACAGTAAACCACAGCTTTGAAGACAGCAAAGGTGTGAGTTAATGAAATATTACAAACATCCACTCAGACCTTTAGCATGGAGTGATAATTACTGTACAGTAAGGTTATTTGATTTTTTTGATCAAAAATACTGAAGATTAATGACTTCATTCTATCATTAAACTTTATACTCAAAATATTTGCAGAATACCAGATATTAAGAAGAGGCTGGATATCAGGGACAGTGGGTGCTGTCCTTTGAGACATTTATTCATCATCAATTATGGGGGGGGGAGTTGGAAATGCAAATTCTCAAGAGCCCATCCCAGAACTACTGAAACTCTGGGCGGGGCTCAGGATGTGTTTTAATAAGCCTTCTGGGTAGTTCTGATACCTGCACAAGTCAGAACCACTGAGGTAGAGAAAACCTGAAGTCCTTGATTCTGCTGCTAACTAGCTATGAGACCTTAGACAAATCACTTAACCCGTGTGCCTAAGTTTTCATCATCTGTCAAATATATTTGCACTAATTATCTGACAGCAATAATGTTAGGTTCAAATGATAAAACTGGGAGTGCTTTTTTTTTAAAGATTTTATTTTTAGAGAGGGTAAGAGAGGAAGAAAGAGGGAGAGAAATGTCAATGTGTGGTTGCCTCTCATGTGGCCCCAACTGGGGACCTGGCCCACAACCCAGGCATGTGCCCTGACTGGGAATCAAACCAGCGACCCTCTGGTTCACAGCCTGTGCTCAATCCACTGAGCTATGCCAGCCAGGGCTGCAAGTGTTTTTGAACAATGTTAACAGTGTAATACTATTGTTATAAATATAAAATAAGAAAAAATATGGGTGCTCTCAGGGTGTGGCCCTCAGACCATAGTACTAGACAGAAAGACTCTCAGGCCCTTTCTCCAACCTCACAAATTAGAATCACACCAGCCAGGGCTAGAATCTGCTTTGTAATAAGAGCTCTGGTGATTAAAGTGGGAAAGGCACTGAGCAGAAAGTAACACCGCTCAAGTATAAGGCACTACTTGTATCAGGCAGGTGCACTCATGTGCAAAGTGGAGTTCCTCTCAATGGTTAGTCCCTCAGTTGATCAGACATGGAAATGCTGTGAAATAGTTTCAACTTGGAGGAGTAGAGGAGTACTGTGAAATGCTGGTTACCATACTGAGACAATTCCTATTAATGAGCTGAATTCTTACCATCTGTCCTCAGTTCAAAGATTATAAAAACATATGCCAGTCTGTTATTTTTAGTCACTCCTTTTATAATTGAACTTCACACAAAATCCTCTAATAGCATCGTAAGAAATGAACTGGGCCATTTGCTGAGGTCACTGGAAGGATCAGATCCTGCAGAAATTCAAAACAGGCAATCCTTTTATACTTAAAATTGCAGAGGTTATCCAGCTTTCAAGTGACAGCTGGAAAGCATGTGTTACTTTTATCATTTTGAACTAATTAAAATAAAGATTGGAAGAGGAGGATGGGGGAATGTCACCTGAAGATTTTGATGCCATTTTATGAGCTCACTCTTTGCATGTTTAGTAAGTGCTTTGGGTAGCTTTTATGGTCAGGCAAGTTTGGGAAGAACTCTAGATCCTAGCTCGGTAGTTCTCAACCTTGGCTTTTTACTGACATCATTCAGGAAGCTTTAAAGAAAATGTACGGATGCCTGATTTAGGTCTAGAGTGGGGCCTGGGCCTGGCTGTTGCGGGGCAGCTTCCCCTGTGACTCTGAGGGCAGTCAGTATTGAGAACCTGGGTGCCTAAAGGGACTGGGGGAGAGCTGGCCCCTGTTATGGGCTGAACTGTGTTGGCTCAGAAGATCACATGCTGAAATCTGAACCCCCAGTACCTCAGAACATAGCCATATTTGGAGATGGACCTTTAGGCAGGTGAATGAATTAAAAGGAAGCCAATAAAGTGAGTCCTATTCCAATCTGCCTGGTGTCCTCTTACAAGAGAACACCGGGACACATAAAGGTACACCAGAATGTGCACACACCGAGGGAATAAAGCATGTGAGAACACAGCAGGAATGTGGCCATCTGCAAGCCAAGGTGAAAGGCCTCAGAATGAAAACAAAACTGTGGACACCAACACTTTGATCTTGAACTTCTAGCCTCCAGAACTGTAAGAAAATAAATTTGTGTTGTTTAAGCCACCTGGCCCGTGGTATTTGGTTAATATTTCCCCTTATCTGAAAACCAAGTGTTAAAAGCATTCTCTACCAAATGTGAGTGTGAGACCTACAGACTAGGTCTTTTCATTGTGTTTATTCCTCCAGGCTAAGCAGGGGCTTTACAGAAGTGGAGGCCAGATGGAGGTGAATGGAGATAGAAACTCTTAGCATGTGGTGAGTCAGCAAAAAGACACTTTCAGACAGTTCATGTTCGATGTAGACATCAGAGAAACACAAGCAGGATTACAATGACACTGAAGGGAGAAAGTCATTTCAAACAGCATTACCACAGGCTGCCTTCACTGACCCCACAGACAAGCTGTGTCCCAGTTGTCCCTGGGAAGCCTTCAGAGCACCTATCACAATTACAATTATTGTTAAATGATTAAGTTCCTGTCTAAATTAATCTGCTACAGTAAGTGTATGAGGGCAGCGACTGTATCTTGATTTATTCACTATCTTGTTCACCATTTGGCACATATTTATGAAATGAATGAATGAATGAACACTACTAGCAACCACTAGCAAAGATGAAACCAAAAGGAATTAATTCAGTTGATGAAATCAATTAATGAATAAATAAGTGAATGAAAAAGTGAATCCATGACTTAACACTGGTTGGATGTTTGTGTATCAAATGTATCTTAAATGTCTTCTAAATTCATTTCCAATTAGACTTCATGACAGTGATTACTCAAAAGGAGACTCCCCCCACCTCAAGTAATTCAGTAATTGTACCTTTCTGCTGGAACCTTCAGTTTTAAGTATAGTCACATGCCTTGTGAATCATTTGGCAAATCTGCAAAAGAATGCTACATATCTATGTGTGTGTGTGCATATGAGTATATATACATATACACCCACATATGTTCATTTATATTCATTTCACACACAAATACATATATATATATATATATATGTATTCCACACATACCACTGGTCTCACAATTGGTTCAATATAACACTTTGATGGTCATGTATAAAACCTCACAGATCAGAGCCCACA